CCACAGTACGGCCCAGGACTCATCAGGGACGCCTACTGAAAACCCTGGTATCTCCTCATCTCTACCTTTCCTTAAAACATATCCTTCACCATAGGCAATATTCCACCTTCTATTCCTCTGTCATTGCCTCTAGTCTGTGTCATTAAAAACCTAAAAGCTCAGCTGTCACCTGATCTGAAACCTAAACATCTAATTTTTTTCTGCAATACAGCCTGGCCCCAATACAAATTAGACAATGGTTTCCAACAGCCAAAAATGGCACTTTCAATTTTTCTATTCTGCAGGACCTAAACAATTTTTGTCAACAAATGGGCAAATGGTCTGAAGTGCCATACATCCAGGCTTTTACACTCTAATCCGTCCCTAATCTCTGTTCTCAATGCGACACATCCCAAATTTCTTTCTCTTCCTTCTGCCCACCCCTCCTGCCTCCGCCAGTGACTCAGACTCCTCCTTGTCCATCAACCCCTCCAACCTTTCTTCTCCCTGCCTCTCTGAACCAGATCCCAGTCCAGGCCCTAACCCCCACCTGGAGCCTCCCTCCTCTTCCTTTGCCCATAATCCACCTCCTCATGCCTCTCCTGTCACCTCCCCACTCATACCCAGTCCAGCTTACAGTTTAGTCCCACAGATACCTCCCCCGCTCCTGTCCAACAGTTTTTTCCTCGAGAAGTGGCTGGAGCTGAAGGGATAGTCTGGGTACTCATTCCTTTTTCTCTGTCTAACCTGTCCCAAGTCAGTCAGCTTCTAGGCTCTTTCCCGTCAGATCCCATCAAATATATACAAGAATTTCAATACTTAACCCAGTCTTATAATCTCACTTGGAGTAATTTAAATGACATCCATACTTCTATTCTCACCCCTAAAGAACACTTAATATGCATTTTATCACCCAATCAGCCCCTGACATTACAAAAAAATCTACGGAAATGAGTATCTGGCCCTCAAACCCCATAACAGGAGTTAATTAACCTCACTTTCCAGGTGTTCAATAATAGGGAAGAAGCCGCCCGGTGGCAGCACATCTCAGAACTACAGAGGCTTGCCTCTGCCATAGACCCCAGCCACACCACCAGCTCATAAAGACTTCAAAGCGCCCCGAACACAACGTCCAGCCACCCCTCCCTGCTCATACCTAACCTTGTTAATAAAAGTGAATGTTTACTCACGGATACCAAACACTTTCTCATACACCATGAAAACAAGACCCCTCCCTCCACACGATTACCCTATCAAATCCCACTACAACCTTTAATAGCCGCAGCCCTTGCTGTTTGCCTGGGCATCTGAGTACAAGACCCCAGCCCCCCTGCAGATCACTTTCTTATGTCTTCAGTCTACATTTCCAGTTCTGCCTCAGCCAAGGACTTTTTTTCCTCTGTGGCTTTTCCACCTACCTCTGCCTTCCTACCAACTGGACAGGCAACTGTACCTTAATTTTCCTTACTCCCCAAATCCATTTTGCCAATGGAAATGAACACCTGCCTTTCCCCCTTGTAATTCTTACATGACAAAAAAGAGTCATTCCATCAATCCCCTTGCTTGTAGGATTAGGAGTCCCCACTGCTGCAATTAAGACAGGTATAGCAGGCCTTACTACTTCCATCAGTACATTCCGCCATCTCTCTAATGAATTTTCTGCCAGCATTTCAGACATAACTCAAACACTATCTGTTCTCCAACCCCAAGTTAATTCTCTGGCTGCAGTTGTCCTCAAATTGCCAAGGCCTCGATCTACCAACTGCTGAGAAAGGAGAACTCTGTCTATTCCTCAGTGAAGAATGCTTTTATCTAAACCAGTACTGCCTTGTATATATGCCATCAAAAGACTTAATGATAGGGCCCAAAAACTCCTGAAACAGGCAAATAATTATTCTGGATCTAGTTGGCCACTCTCTAACTGGGTACCGTAGCTCTTTTCATTAGCAGGCCGCTTAATATCTATCCTTCTCCTTCTTTTGTTTGAATCTCATCTTTTCCAACTAATTTCTCAACGCCTACGTAGGAAACAAGAATAAATAAAAGGTTCCTCTTCAAAGCTTTCCTTTAAGTGCATTATGAATAAATAAGTTTCTTTCAAGGTCATTTTAAAGCTTTTGATAATAATCTTAAAGTAGCTGTTAGTCATAATAAAGAAATAAATGCATCCCGTGTTCTTAGTTCTTACACTTTAACCTAGATATTTGCCCAGGCAAGTCTTAGGTGAGAGCTTATTCCCCTTCCTTATTTGGAAATGTTATCGCTTCTCTAAGCATTCTTCAAGTCACTACCTCTTCTCTTTCGTTCTCCTCTGCCTTTGTTTCTTTAGAAGATGTCCAAGTTTTCAGCCAATCAGGTCAAGTATAGAATGTGAGGTCCCGTTCTCACCAATGGAAACTGGACACAGCAGCAGAGTGATTGCATTAGGTTATGAAAGTTATAAATGTCCCTGTTTCCTTTGTTCAGGTGTGCTCTCATGGCAAGACTGCTAGCAAGTTGCACCCTACCTGCAGGAAGTAAAACTAGCCTTGCTGAGTAATCCGATTGTCTTGGTGTGGATTTTTCCCGACGTTATAAACATGTTTCCAACATCCTACAAAATCACATCCAAGCTATAACCAATCAGTCAAAATGGCAAATACTCCTTCTAACAACCCCACAATATCACCCCTTGCCCCCAAATCTCTTGGTGTCTAAAATCTCTCCCATTTTTAGGTTCCATGCCACCCCCAATCCTGCCTGAAGAAGCCCTGAGAAACGTTGCCCATCATCCCTCTGTACAGCCCCCAAAATTTCACTGCTTCCCCCACTTTTTCTAGTTTTTGCTTTTCAACTTTTATATTATTAATATAAAAAGACAGGAATGCAAGGTTCTTTGAACTGACTACACCATAGTCAAGCCATGGTGACCCCTGTGACCCACACATACACCTCCAGATGGCCTCCCAGAGCCAGAAAGTCTAAGGTACCAGGAAAACTGCAAAAGGAGAATTGCTAGCTCCTGCAGTGCTTGATTAACCAAACTTGCAACATTCTACCATTGTTCCTGCCTCAACTGATAAGTCAACCTTGTGACACTGGACCCTGTGGCCTGATTAACTGACCTTGCAACATTACTGTTTCTGCCTCAATTGATAGGTCAACCTTGTGACACCGGACCCTGTGACACTTCCCCCATCCCCCAGCAAAATACTGCCCTGGACTGTAACTTTCCACTGCCTATCCTAGACCTATAAAACCAGCTTCTATCCCACCACCCTCTGCTGACTCTCTTTTTGGACTCAGCCTGCTCGCACCCAAGTGAATAGACAGGTTTGTTGCTCACCTGTTTAGGTGATCTCTTCATTCAGAGAGTGCTTAACATGTTTCATTACATTTGTAGTATGTTCAGCTATTTAAAAGCATATCTTGAAAAGATGTCTGTGGCCTGCTGTTAAGGAAAAAAGGCAAGTTATATAGTAAGGAACTAACATTTTACTTTTGACTTTGTTTCGTTTGTTTCTTTTTGTTGTAGTGGTGGTAAGTGGGCGGGGGGGGGACTTGCACATTTATACATGTACTTAAGTGTATAAGGACATAGGTAGAGGAGACCCCCTGATTATTAATGTTGATTGCCTCAGAGAAGTGGGATGGAAAGGTGGAAAGAGTAGGGAAAAGAACTTTTCTTTGGAAAAAGTTAAAATGCCTATAGAGATGTAAATATATAATTTCTCTTTAAAATCTTTATATAATTTAGCTCCCTTTTTAAATAAAAAATGGGCTTGGCATAGTGGCTCACACCTGTGATTCCAACACTGTGGGAGGCTGAGGTGGGAGGATCACTTGGGCCCAGGAGTTCATGACTAGCCTGGGCAATATAGTGAGACTCCCATCTCTACAAAAAAGAAAAAAAATTAGCTAGGCATGATAGTGAGCCTAGTTCCCAGCTACTAGGGAGGCTGAGGCAAGAGAACCCTTTAGCCTAGCCCAGGAATTCAAGAATGCAATGAACTGTGATCACACCATTGCACCCCAGCCTGGGCAATGGAGTGAGGTCCCATCTCAAGCAAATAAACAAACAAAAAGGCTAAACAAGGGCCCAATATCCAGAATACATAGATAAAAAAACACAACTCATCAACAGAAAGACAAAAAACCCCAGCTAAAAAATGAGCAAAGAACTTGAATACCCAAATATACAAATTGCTAACAAGCACATGAAAAGCTGCTCAAAACTATCAGTCACCAGGGAAATGTTAATCAATACCACAATGAGATGTTACATCACACTCACTAGGAGGACAAAAAAAAAAAAAAAAAAAAAAAANTTTTTAAAGGAAAACAAATGTTGGTGAGGATATGGAGAAACTGGAACCCTCATTAAGCACAGAATTACCACACACTTCAGCAGATCTACTCTTAGGTATTATACCCAAAAGAACAGAAAACGGACACTCAAACAAATGCACGAACACACATGTTCACAGCAGCATTCATTCGTAACAGCCAAAAGGTAGAAACAATTCAAACGTCCATCAACTGATGAATGGATAAACCATTGTGATTTCAGCCATACAAAGGAGTATGTTATTCAGCCATAAAAACAAATGAAGTACTGATACATGCTCCAAGGTGGATGAACCTCAAAAACATTATGCTAGGTGAAAGAAGCCAGACACAAAAGGTCGCATATTGTATGAGTCCATTTATGTGAAATGGCCAGAATAGGTAAATCCATAGAGACAGAAAGCGGACCGGTGGTTGCCAAGGCCTGGGAGGAAAGGGAAACTTGGCAGTAAGTACTTCATGGAGTTGGCTGTGCTTCAGCGTGATGGAAATATTCTGGAAACAACAGAATGGTGCTTGCACAACATTGTACATTTACTAAATGCCACTGAATTGTTCACCTTAAAATGGTCAATATTACGTTATGTGGATTTCACTTTAATCACAAAAAGAAAGAGAAACGCTGGCGTTTACGCAGGCTGGACTGGGGACGCTCCTCTCCGCGGCCTTGTTGGCAGCGCCTCCGCTCCCCGCCCTCCCCGCGCCGGGCGAATCTGGAGGGCCACGCTGTGGCGGAGCAACCACCACAGGGCTGCCAGAGAGAAGGCGAGCCGGGAGGAAGAGGAGAGGCGGGCAGCACCCTCACGCCTCCACGCCAGACTGGACCGGAAGGAAACCGGAACCTCTCTGCCTAGCGTGCCTCTTTCCGGAAGCTGCTTGAGTCGGGACGCCAACGTCGGCGACGCTGGAAGCAGACTTCCGGCGCTCTATTTTCTCATCGGGTAAGTGCGGCAAGGAAGCGGCGGTGGCGATGAGACAGAAACACTACCTTGAGGCTGCGGCGCGGGGACTGCACGACAGCTGTCCGGGCCAAGCCCGCTATCTCCTGTAAGAGGACGGGAGATGAGGCGGGAGGCGAGCAGGGAGGTGTTCCTTTTTCCCCTCACAAGTCTTTTTCTCTTTTACAGCTGGGCCTACACTTCGTCGCACGGTAAGAACGTCTATCCCTTGTGCCTTGGGCTCTTGTTACCCCGCTTTCCTCCATTCCGCACAACGCTAAAATAAGGCCAATGGACTCACTGCCCTCCTTAACAACCATATCCTTCGACAAAATCCACATGCTTCTCAGTTTTGTGAAAAATCCAAATTCCTTAATGTGCCTTGTCTTGCTTTGTTAGCGGCACTTGACACATTGATCAGTCTTCTCGAAATAGTTTTCTCCCTTGGCTTCTAGGTCATTACGTAGTTCACCTCCTCTTTACCAATTTATTACTTATCGATTTGCTTTGCTGTTTCCTCCTAATCTCCCCAAGCTTTAAGTATTGCCGTGTTCCAGTACTCAGCCCTTGGACCTCTTTTCCACGTACACTTACTTCCTGACAGTTTTTCATCTAGTCTCATGTCTTTTAAATACCATATACTGAGGACTTACAAATTTATATATTCAGCGCAGATCTCTCCTCTGAATTTTAGACTCATACATCCAAATGTCTTCTTGACCAATTCTTTTCAATATCTAGTAATTTCAAACTTAGCTAATGTGTCCAAAACCTGAGCTTTACCCCCAATAAGATCCTCCAGTTTTTCTCATTTCAGTAAATAATTCCATCTTTCCCTTATAGTTATTAGACCCCCAAAACCTTGGAGCCATTCTTGACTCCCTAACAACTCTCCTCCCAGCAAATCCTGTCGGCTTTAAAATATATCCAGAATCGGCCAGGAGCGGTGGCTCTCGCCTGTAATCTCAGCATTCTGGGAGGTTCACATGGGTGGATCACTTGAGGCCAGGTGTTCGGGACAAGCCTGGCCAACATGGTGAAACCCCGTCTCTACTAAAAATACAAAAAAATTAGCCTAGTGTGGTGGCGCACGCCTGTAATCCCAGCCAGTCTGGAGGGTGAGGCATGAGAATCTCTTGAACCCGGGAGGCAGCGATTGCAGTGAGCGGAGATGGAGTGCACTCTACTCCTCACCACATCCATCGCTACCACCCTGCTCCAGGCCATCACCGGCCCCCTCCTGGATTACTGCTAACAGCTCCCATGTGTTTCTAGTTTGTTCTCAAGCCAGCAGCCAGAGTGAATCTGATAAAAACCAAAGCTACCTCGTGTCACTTCTCGGCCAGAAACTCAAATGGCTTCCCATCTCCCAGTAAAAGTGAAAGTCCTTTAAAAGGATTGTAAGGCCCGGTATCATAGGCCCACGTACCTCTCTGACCTACTCTGTCTTTCCCTCACGCAACTCGTCACACTAGGCCTCCTTGCTGTTCTCTTTCAGGGCCTTTGCAGCTACTCTTCACTCTGCCTGGGATTCTTGCCTCACATACCTGCTTCCATTGGAATCCTCCATTTCCCTCTGGTCTCTATGATATCACTCAATGAAGTTTTCCCTCGCCACCTGTTTAAAATTACAGTAACTCCATCAGCACTTCTATTCCCCTTTCCTGTCTTACTTTTTTATTCCCAGCACTTAACATTTGATGTTGTTATATTTATTATATGCCTCGGTGAATTCTCGTTTTTTTCACTGCTATGTCTCCAGCACTCAGAACAGTGCCTGGTGTTGTCACTTGGTAAATATGAATGAATTGCACATTTGGCAGAGCTAAGTTTAAGTGTGGTCCTTGGCTTTATAAGTTCTGTTATATCCCTGGCACTTAGCACAGTGCTCAACAGTAGGTACTAAATAAATATTCATTGTGTTAATTGTTTAAAAAGAGAAACAATCGCAGTGCAATTTGTTATTTTGTGGTAAATGCATTGGTAAAATTGGTGAAACATAACAGCCTTTTAAAGCTTACTAGCAAGTAATGAGAAGTGGCTAGATTTTTGATATATTTTAAAGCCTATAGGATATGCTAGCATAAGTTGGAGATTTGCCTATTTGTTGCTGAAAGGAGTGAATGGATGGAATTAGAGTATTTTGCAAAGTAAATTACTGCCAATTTATCTTTTTGTAAATTTTCATACTTTGAGTTTGCCTAAGAATGTATATCTGCTTATATTAAATATCAATATACTTTTTATAATGTTGGCAGTTTGAGGTAACAAAATATTCTGATTTGCTGAATTGTGAGTTTCATTTGTATAATTTTAGATGATAAGAGCACTTTTGAAGAAACGTGTCCATACTGTTTCCAGTTGTTGGTTCTGGATAACTCTCGAGTGCGTCTCAAACCCAAAGCCAAGATGACATCCAAAATACAGAAACTTCTTAATCGAGAGGCAAGAAACTATACACTCAGTTTTAAAGAAGCAAAAATTGTCAAAAAGTTCAAAGACTCTAAAAGTGTATTGGTAAGATTTCAGTTCCAGTATCTATGAGTAAACTAATATTTTCTGTCACTTAAAATCAGCTTAAGAATCAGCCTTGATGTAACTCAGAGATTTATAATAGTATAGTTGGATTATCAAAATATATACATAAACATTTCTCTAAGGATTAGTGTTTCATTATAAGGACAGCTTATTTTTATTTTTCATGATTACCTAAACCAAACATCATGAGCTCTCAATTGTTTTGAGATCCCATTTTTGAGCATTATTTTTCACAAATGTGAGGATTTCTTGAGCTGACCATTATGACTCCACCTGAATTGCAGTTACCACTACATTATTTTTTCAGTTAATGATCCTTTGCTTCAAACAGTAGTATATATGTAGGTGTCAATGTCACTTCTTCAGCTGTCCTCCCACTCCATATCAGTGTGTGTTTATAGCTATACCCAATAAAGGTGAATGCATCTTTTGCTTTTTAAACATTTTATTGAGGGACTATCGTATGCCAAGCAGTATTTAATATTGAGGATATAAGATGGAATAAAACAACCAAAATCAAATTACTTATGGTTTACTATATAGAGGCCAGTAGCAGATATACATTATATCCTGCATATTCATTGTTAACGTTTATCAACCATTCAAGTGCCTGCTTATTGTCCAGCACTGTGCTGGGCACTGGACATTATGACAGCTTATGTCTGGCCTAAGACTGTAATTAGTAATTACTTGATTGAAAATTGCCATATTTAGGAGTTTACCAGTGTTGGACAGGTAGGCGCATTTTGCTTTGTCATAAAAAAATTAAATGGTTAAAGGGAAAGAGAGAAGAGAGAGAATATTGAAGTGATACAGAATTCAGTTTCTTAGTTCTTGGAGAATTGTATTTTTCAAAAAATATTACTGCCACATGTTTGAAAAATGTTGCCTCACTGTCTTGCAGTGTTTTGCCCTCATGAAACTTATATTCTAATGTATTTTAATCAGAAGTTAGCTAGAAAGGTGCTAAGTAAAGGCATTTGTTTTTCTGATTTATTTTAATCTGTATACAGCCTCCTCCCAAAAAGTGTAAAGCAACACAGACCTTTGATAGATACAGATCTTCCATTGGCATTTTCATCTGCTCATGAACATCAAACTACTTCTCACTTAAACTAATTTATATTAATTTGCTGAGGCATGGGCTGAATCCTGTGCATAGTGAGTTAGATATGTAGAATTAGTTAGGAAATGGACCATTTATTGAGAAGTGAATCTTGAAAAGAAAGTCAACCTCTAGAGCTAATGATGAGTGAAGTGGTATGAGAATATAACAACTCATTTGGTTGTATAAGTTACTTTAGACCTATAAAATTGCTAAGGATTTGAAGGGGCTACTTACATTTCCAGTGACATTCTGCTTTGTTTTTTTTACCATGGGAAGAGGCTTGAAGTTAATCTGCAAAAAATATTAAATGCTTACTGCTCTTACAAAGACTATTTCTCCAGATGTTAAAGAGTATCATCTCCCATCTTTTCCCTAATTCTCCCCAAACATGGTTTTATATTTAAAAATTAGAGAGTTCACTATACAGTATTTGAAAAACCTATTTTAAATTAAATACAGATGTTTAGCCATTCATTTCTTATTGAACGTTTTCTCATTTTAAATTTGTCTTGTTGGCGAGGTGCAGTGGCTCCAGCCTATAATTCCAGCACTTTGGGAGGTCAAGATGGGTGGATTGCCTGAGGTCAGGAGTTCAAGACCAGCCTGGCTAACATGGCGAAACCCTGTCTATACTAAAATACCAAAATTAGCCAGCGCAGTGGCAGATTCTTATAGTCCCAGTTACTCAGAAGGCTGAGGCAGGATTGTTTGAACCAGGGAGGCAAAGGTTGCAGTGAGTCAAGATCGCACCACTGTACTCCTGGCTGGGCAACAGAACGAGACTGTCAAAAAAAAAAAAAAAGTTTTGTCCAGTTCTTGCCACTAGATTGCAAGTTTTCCAAGTGCAGCCTCTATTTTACTTACCCCTGTAGTATGTGGTATAATCTCTGACATTTAAGAATTCAATGAACATGTGGTTTATGGGGTTACACTGTAAGAAAAATGACAGGACTGACATTTCTTCTTTTTATGGTAGTTGATCACTTGTAAAACATGCAACAGGACAGTGAAACATCATGGTCAAAGCAGAAGCTTTCTTTCAACATTGAAGAGCAATCCTACCACTCCTACAAGTAAACTTACCCTGAAAACACCAGAGAGAAGGACTGCAGACCCAAATCATGAGAAGTCTGGCTCCAAAGGCAAGAGTCCAGCATTGATTTTCAGGTATCTTAATCCATGAACTCTTTGAATTGCCAGTGTTAACTCATGTGCTTTCTTCTAATTTTTTGTGTTTAATATTTACTTGCCAAATATGCCATGTATTTCAGGACTTGGCCATGTTTCCTCCATACCCTTTTCTAATGTCACATACTCCCATATCTTCAATGCTCATGTCAATGCATTTGACTTCTAGGTATGTTACTCTACTTCCAACATCTCCTGGGCCTGTTTCCAGCTGCCTGCTAAATATATCTGCTTCAGTCCCCTACATGTTCAAAACTTAGTTCATCATTTCCCCACAGCTAACCACTCAAACCTGCCCATCCTCCTGAGTTCGTTATTTTGTGAATGAACATACCTTTGTGGACATTTTGACCTAAAATGACAGGTATATTCAAAAATCCTTATTCCCTTGGTCCTTGTCACCGATTTCAATATATTTTACTTCCATGCCGTTTTCATCTTTTTGCCCTTTTTTCTTCCTAATGCTGCTATATTCTGGTTTAGGTCCTTATGCACCATTTGTCAGGACTACTGCAATGATTTTCCTAATGGTCTCCCTGTTTCCAGTATCAAACTCTTCTAGTGTGATCATCTTTCTGGAGCATAGCTCTGATTAGAAGTATCACTCTGTAGCATATGGATCAATGCTTTAGCATGGCTTTCCAGGCCTGTCTGGCACCAGTCTGTCTGCCTGTCTTACTTTGCCTTAATTCTTCCTTTGTGCCAACAAAACTGAACCATTCACAGCCGGGTGCGATGGCTTACGCCTGTAATCCTAGCAATTTGGGAGGGCAAGGTGGGCAGATTCCCTGAGATCAGGAGTTCGAGACAAGCCAGTGCAACATGGTGAAACCCCATCTCTACTAAAATACAAAAAATTAGCCAGGTGTGGCAGTGTGCACCTGTAGTCCCAGCTACTTGGGAGGCTGAGGCAGGAGAATTGCTTGAGCCCAGGAGGCAAAGGTTGCAGCGAGATGAAATGGCGCCACTGCACTTCAGCCTGGGCAGTGGAGCAAGACTCCATCTCCAGAAAAAACAAACGTGAACCATTCACAGTATACTTTCTTGTCCTAAATGTTTGTTCTTGCCCTTAACTCTGTCAGAAATTCCTGAGGAAATCTAGCTGAACAGGGATTTATCAAATGATACTACACCAAGGATAGCCATTGCCTGTATATATCCATAATACAAAAAGAGTAGAAAATGATTGTCATTTGTTGGTATAACTAAATGTGGTTTTGTTTCTTTTCAGAACACCTACATCTGGACAGTCAGTATCTACTTCCTCAAAGAATATGAGTAAAACAAAGAAACATTTCTCTCAACTAAAAGTGTTACTTAGTCAGAATGAATCCCAAAAGAATCCAAAGGTGGACTTCAGAAATTTCTTATCTTCTCTGAAGGGTGGACCTTGAAAATAAGACATGCCTGATGTCAATTCTGAAACGATAGTAAAACAACTTTTTAAACTTTTATTTTTTGAATACATGGAAACTAGATCTGAATGCAAACTTTTCTTGGCATCCTTTGGGAAAATACCTCATTAGTATGAATACCTGAAACCTGCCTACCTCATAGGATGGTTGTGAAGATCAAAAAATATATGAAAGTTCTTTGTAGATATGTATGTGTAGATATATATGTGTATGTATGTAAAGCTGTATATGTACATTGAGTAGTGGCATTACTATTGTTTCTTCCTTTAGTTAGCAGTTTTTATGTATGTTATTTTCTTTCAAAAGGGAATTGAGATCTTTATGAGAGGATCTATTCACTCATGAGGTTTCTTCCATGTGTCTATGGCATTATTGATAATTCAGGGAAAGGATTAAGTGGGTCCTTATTTTCTCACAATTATCTGCATAACTGTCTTAGTAAAACCTGAACCTTATTCCCATTTTGAATGCAAAAGTAAATATCTGGAACATTCCTGATTATAGATCACTCAATGGGAGTCTAAAATTTTCTTTCTGTTTAGAAAAGGGAACATACTGTTGGTGATACTATAAATAAGTACAGCAACTTTGGAGAAAACAGTATGGAGGTTCCTCAAAAAACTAAAGGTAGAATTACCATATGATCCCACATCTGGGTATATATCCAAAGGAATTGAAATCAGTATGTCAAAGAGATGTTTGCCCTACAATGTTTCATTGTAGTGTTATTCACAATAACCAAGATATGGAAACAGCAGAAATGATTGTCAAAGGATGGATTTTTTAAAAATCTGGTGTGTATACACAATGGAATACTATTCAGCCTTTAAAAAGCAAGAAATTCTAAGAAAACATATATGAGGCCAACAAACACATGAAAAAACACTCATCATCACTAGTCATTAGAGAAATGCAAATCAAAACCACATTGAGATACCATTTCATGCCAGTTAGAATGGCGATCATTAAAGAGTCTGAAGACAACAGATGCTGGAAGGGATGTGGAGAAATAGGAACACTTTTACATTGTTGGTGGGACTGTAAATTAGTGCAACCATTGTGGAAGACAGTATGGCAATTCCTCAAGGATCTAGAAATAGAAATACCATTTGACCCAGCAATCCCATTACTGGGTATATACCCAAAGAATTAGAAATTGTTCTGTTATAAAGACACATGCACATGTATGTTCATTGTGGCACTGTTTACAATGGCAAAGACTTGGAACCAACCCAAATGTCCATCAGTGATAGACTGGATAAAGAAAATGTGGCACATGCACCATGGAATATTATGCAGCCATAAAAAACGATGAGTTCGTGTCCTTCATAGGGACATGGATGAATCTGGAAACCATACTCAGCAAACTGACACAAGAACAAAACCAAACACCGCATTTTCTCACTCATAGGCAGATGTTGAACAGTGAGAACACGTGGACACGGAGGTGAGCATCACACTGCGGTCAGTTGGGGCTAGAGGACGGACAGTGGGGAGTGGGGAAGGTGGAGAGGGATAACGTGGGGAGAAATACCAGAGTTAGGTGATGGAGGGATGAAGGTGGTAAACCATCTTGACATGTATGTACCTATGCAACAATCCTGCAAGAAAGAAATTCAGTTATGGTAATGTGGATGAACCTATAAGACATGCTAAGTCAAATAAGCCAGACATGACAAATGCTGTATTATTTATATGGGATCTAAAAATGTAGAACTCAGAAGTAGAGGATATAATGGTGAATACTGGAGGTTGTGGTTGGGAATGAGGTGAGTAGAAAAGGGAAATTTTAAGAGGAGTAAGTTCCAATGAACTGTTGTACAGCATGGTGACTATAGTTAATACATATTTCAAAATAGCTGAAAGAGAGGTTTTGGCTTTTTTTTTTTTTTTTTTTCTTTTTTTTGAGATAGAGCCTTGCTCTGTCATCTGGGCTGGAGTGCCATGGCATGACCATAGATCACTGTAGCCTTGAACTTCTGAGCTCAAGTGATCCTGCTGCTTCAACCTCCAGAATAGTTGGGACCACAGGCACACACCACTGCACCTGGCTAATATTTTATTATTATTATTTTTTCATTTCCCACTACAAGAAGCCATAATTTTTTTTAAATTTATTTTTATTTTTATTTTTTTTGTAGAGGCAAGATCTTACTATGTTGCCCAGGCTGGTCTTGAACTCCTGGCTTCAAGCAGTCTTCCCACCTCTCCCTCCCAAAGTGCTAGGATTGCAGATGTGAGCCACAATGCCCAGCCAAAAGAGAGGGTCTTCTAATGTTCTCTCCGCAAAGAAATGATAAATATTTGAGGTGATGGATCTATTAATTAGCCTGATTGCATTACTCCAGAGTGTATACATGTAACAAAACATCACATTGTGTCCCGTAAATATATGCAACTATTATTTGTCAATTAAAAAACTCAAAAGGCCAAAGTTAACCACTTGATCTTATAGTTGCATGAAATGAAATTGTGCTAGCTGGTGCCACCACGAAAAGGCCAGGTGTTCACTTTGTGTCCACAACATCTAGCACAACACAATGGTGATGGTAGCTGCTTTATCCTGGCTAATTTCTCTCTAGAACATTTGTTTCTCTTGAACTCTTCTTGCTCCTGATAGTGAGCTCTTTGCAGTTCTCAATATATACCATCTACTTGTCAGCTTTGGGCCTTTGCACATGCAAAGGACTCACTTTGGATACTGCCCTCCACCCAACCCCACTGCATTATGAGGGGCCACTCTTATCACAGTTCTGGTGACCCTGTAGTTTGTTTCTGATCATTACCAGCCGCCTGTGAGCTCTTTGCAGACCTGAGTGGTCTCACTTGTACCCCCAGCACCTAGTTTGTTGCCCAGCACATAGCACAAGATAGTCCTAGACTACTACATTTAATGAGTTCTACCTGTTCCACACTAGAACTAAGAACTAAGGTCTCTCTGAGCACATGATTGTAAAGTAGATAAAAAGTAGTAAAGACAGGAACTCTTAGGTGGTAAGTTGTTCATATTACTTCAGTTGCAAGTGAAGGACACCAGATTCTCTCGACTTTTCTGTTTGGCAGAAAGGTCTGGGCATTTCTAAAGGCAATATTTAAAAGTTGAAGTGTGGAGATAAAACTATAAAACCTTTAGAAGAAGATACAGGAGTAAATCTTCATAACCCTGGAATATGCAGTGGTTTCTTAGGACAGCAAAAGTACAAGCAACAACAAGAAAAATAAACAGATAAATTGGGCTTCATCAAAATTAAAGACTTGTGTGCTGTGTTCAAAGGACACCATCAAGAGAGTGAAGTCAGCCCCTGAATGGGAGAAAACACTTGCAAATTATATGCAAATAGTCTCCTACTTATCAACTTGAGATTTTTTAACATTACGATGGGTTTACCAGGACATAACCCATCCTGAATTGAGAAGCATTTATATCTGTTAAGGTACCTATATCCAGAATTATAAAGTACTCTTAAAATTCAATAATAAAAAGACAAAAGATGGTCAGAATCTGAACACAGCTCTCCAACATGGCTAATGAACATATGAAAAGATACTTCATACCTACTAGGCTGACTCACAGTACAAGTGGTGAAGATGTGAAGAAATTGGAACCATCACACATTACTCCTAGGATTATAAAATGGTGGAGTCACTTTGGAAGTTTGGCAGTCCCTCAAAATTTAAAGTTACCATATGACCCAACAATTCCACTCAGGCATATGCCCAAGAGAACTGAAAACAGATGTCCACACAAAAACCTATATATGAATGTTCATGGCAGTAGTGTTTATAATATGCATAAAATGGAAATTTCAAAATAGCTAAAATAATGTTTTTTGAATGTCCAGCAACTGTTGAATAAACAAAATGGGCTTTCCATACGGTGGAATGGTAACATTCAGCCATAAAAGAATTACTGATATATGCTAGGACATGAATGACCCTTGAAAACATATTAATTGCAAGAAGCCAGACACCAAAGACCACATATGGTGTGATTCCCTTTTTTGTTTTTGAGATGGAGTTTCGCTTTTATGGCCCAGGCTGGAGTGCAATGGCGTGATCTTGATTCACCGCAACCTCCTGGGTTCAAGCAATTCTCCTGCCTTAGCCTCCCTTAGCTGGGATATAGGCGCTTGTCACCACGCCCAGCTAATTTTTTGTATTTTTAGTAGAGACAGGTTTCACTATGTTGACCAGGCTGGTCTCGAACTCCTGACCTCAGATGATCCATCCGCCTCAGCCTCCCAAAATACTTGGATTACAGGTGTAAGCCACCATGCCTGGCTGTGTGATTCCATTTATATGGGATGTTCAGAATAGGAAAATACATAGAAATAGACAAGCGTTTGCCAGAGGAATAGGGAGAATAGGGAGCAACTCCTAATGAGTATGGGATTTCTTTTTAGGGTGATGAAAATATTCTGGGATTAGATAATGAACACTGTTGTACAATTCTGTATATACTAAAAACAAAATTCTACACATTGAAAGCATAAATTTTGTGTGAATTATTCTTTAAAAAGTAAACATTAACTTAAATTTAATGTAGACATTTAATTTTTAAGTCCTGTAAGGAGAAGCAGCAGAGGTGCAACATAGGCTCAGACTTTGAGCAGCTCTAATTTCATGGCTTTTCTGGGCCTCCACCATATTGCCATAGGGCTTGTCACATGTTTCTGCATCCTACTGGCTACAGCAGTGCTTCCTGAAGACAGCTCGACTTAGCCCTGTGCTGCTTTCCTAGTCATGGGCTGTGGAACCTGGAATATGTGACTAGAGTACCACTGACCCTGTGGACCGGCAAGCCTAAGTTAAAGGCAGCTATCATGTGAATGAAAAGGAGGCCCTCATCAGCTAGAAGGGGATGGATGGGGTAAGCAGAATCCTATTAGAAAAATAAGCCAACAGGAATGACTGGGAAAAGGGCAAGAGGGGACAAAAACTGATGTGCTTTGTTAGTGACACAAAGAACTCTGGGATGACAGAGTTGACAATCTGGAGGCCAAAATCATCTTTGACATACCCTAGTTCTTAAGTGTGCACTATTCTTCCCCTCAGCACAGCCCTTTGGGCCTTTTACACAAGGGTAACTTCTAATTTGACCTTTGCTCAGATTTTAGAACTCCCCAGTAATGTTCCCAAGTGGATCATATCTAAGAAGAGCAGTACCAGTGAATTAACTGGGTCTCAAAATACAATTGCACATTTCAGACGTTGCTTTAAAGTTGTGTCCTCTCATTTTTTCATTCCTGTTCAGTTATAATAGGCAGTCTTCCTCTTATTCACCAGGGGATTCCATCCCTCTTATTCAGGACCATGGTATATGGAATAGCCCTGCCTTCTCATCTTCAGCCTCTTGCTACAGAGGATCCATCCTCTTAGCACTTTTTTTCTTTTAGAAAAATATTTATTGCTGTGTAACACAGAGAAATACTCATAGCTCTGATCACAAATCTGAGTCAGATGTGTCTTGAAGAATGAGCTTCTGAGGAGCCCTGTACTCACCCTAGT